CATTTTTAGCAAATCCAGCAGCAGAGCTATGGAAGCACGATGACACTGGAATTATGTACATCTACTTTTCAATCCCACAGATTGGAAATAAATCCTCTAGCTTTAAAGCTGTTGTTTGGGTTACATATCATCTGCAGCGTGCTTGTTGATCCTGCTGATAAAGCCATTTCATCGTCCCATCGTGCAAGAAAGTCAGTACATAGCAAACACTTGCAATATAGTTCGTATGGTATCAGACCGTGGTAACACAGAACAGGTTTCATAAATCTTGGTGAAGATGAAGCAAATCCATGTCAAGAAGGATTTCCCTTAAGGTGGCTCCACACATCGTCATCAGCGTCCATTTTCGTGACGTACTTCCGGAAAAAGTACAGCTCGGACTCAATTATCTTGATCGAAATGTGCATGTACACCGTGTCGTCATTTCCGTATTGCGTATCGGGCATTCAATGTCGTTGTGCAAATTATAGTTACACCTTGGCCGTTTTCGTTCAAACGGTCAAACCGATCGGACCACTGTTGTTCGTTTATTAAATAAGGTCGGCCCTAGTAATCTGATGCTGCTTTCAGGCGAGCCATGAGAAAGCCTTGCAAGGCCTGCATATACATTTGCAGGTCCGCCGGGATTAATACCCGAAATTGTTACATTTATAAACGGTCAAACCGGTTGCTCCGCATACACGAACAGGCCCCTGGTAAACAATAGTACACGTGCAATAGTACCCCTCTGCAAAAAGTTCCGATTTTTTTCAAGGAAGATAACTCTTACCCGGATCGAAGTGATTGTAAAATGTAAAATAAATTAATTATAAAGCCATTGTGTATATTTTGTTCAATTTCCCATTCTATATGTATAGATCTTTGTGTCCTGTTGGCTTTTAGCTTGTAGATAATAACTTTTATCCGTTCAAATTCAATAAAAAACACTTTGTGTAACATGTGTTACATATTTTGCGATAAATAAAATATTTGTAGGGTTAATTAGAAATGCTTCTTTTCATTTTATTATTGTTGTTATTGTTCCGAACAATGTCACACCCAAAAAAAAAACGGAAAATATTAAAATTGACGAAAATTCATTTTTTTGGTATTTTTTCCAAAAAAGTCCCCTAACTATCGGAGTGTTTAGATTTTCATAAAATCAACTCTACATAGTTGCATAACCATTATATGAAAGTGTCAACGAGTTTCGCTGGTTAATTACGAAAGTGTGGAGCCACCTTAATGCGTTGCCGACCGTGAAGCTGTATTTTTTTTTTTTTATTTCAGACTAATTTGTAAAAGTCCTTGCCTTGCAGTTAGCTGAATCAGGTAATACCGTTTAAGCATTTGTTTAGAATATGTCGAAAAATATTTCTTGAAGTCAATTTTAGCTGATGGTGACCGTTAGCGACTTGATTTTTTTCCCAGATGATACCATTTTTATGATGACTGTCATTGCTGAGGAAAATCTCAAGCCATTCGAGTAATGCAATCCCTGTTAAAGTTCGGGAATATTATCCACTTCGTTCGGTTCAAGTACTGTTTCTAACTATATCGAATTATCTAGAAATATGAATAACAGTATTTATCTTTCTTTCTGAAGACGTATCATTCCCACATTCTCCTGACAAGGTTCTACAGAGTATACCATACTAACATTATCCTGGCGAGGTATGTAGATGTCTTGTTGAAAATATCTCATACCAACTCTCTCTTCCTAACAAGGGATTCGGACACCTTCTTATTTCAGACCATGTCTCATACCAACTCTCTCTCTTCCTAGCAAGGGATTCGGTCACCTACTTATTTCAGACCATGTCTCATACCAACTCTCTCTCTTCCTAGCAAGGGATTCGGTCACCTACTTATTTCAGACCATGTCTCATACCAACTCTCTTCCTAACAAGGGATTCGGACACCTTCTTATTTCAGACCATGGCTCATACCAACTCTCTCTCTTCCTAGCAAGGGATTCGGACCCCTTCTTATTTCAGACCATGTCTCATACCAACCCTCTCTTCCTAACAAGGGATTCGGACACCTTCTTATTTCAGACCATGTCTCATACCAACTCTCTCTCTTCCTAGCAAGGGATTCGGACACCTTCTTATTTCAGACCATGTCTCATACCAACTCTCTCTTCCTAACAAGGGATTCGGACACCTTCTTATTTCAGAACATGTCTCATACCAAAGCTCTCCTAGAAAAGCATTCAAGATTTCTTTTAAGTGAATTGTACCAACACTCTCCTGACAAGTTATTCCGACACCTTTCTTGCACAAAATTGCGTACCAAGTTCTCTTAGAAAAATCAAAAAATCTAACAGCATTTTTTGGTATGGTTCTCATGACAACGTTCTCCTTGTAAGATATTGGAACATGTTTTTATTGTTGTAAGATATTGGAACATGCTTTTATTGTTGTAAGATATTGGATCATGTTTTTATTGTTGTAAGATATTGGATCATGTTTTTATTGTTGTAAGATATTGGATCATAGAAGGCATTCCTAGCATTGGGATATCAGGACCTAATACAGCGTTCAGGGTTTTTGTGTTTATACCATATAAACAAAACAACTTCGTACTGGCAGTGTTTTACAAGAAGGGATGTCTTGCAGGTTGGGAAAGCTGGGTTAGAGAGTACAAAGTATCGATGGTCCTTCTGATGCGTGAAGAGCTGTTTGATATTGTTCCCACACTGGTCGTATGAGCGCTGAAAAGGTCTCCTGTGAACTGTCTCAAAGTAATTGGTATAGGATTTGGTTAACCCTTGACAGAAATGTATTTCCTCTTACATGTTGTCCTTTGTAATGCGTCTTTATGAACCGTGACCATATGCAGGTTTAGATATCTATGTTTTAACGGGCAGAGGGACTACTCCTCTTCTAGTTTTGAAGTGCTTGGTCACGATCTACAAGGACACTATGTAGGATATGTCAAAAGCATCTCACAGTCAAACAGTGGGCACGATGACCATCAGAGGTCAACTGATTCAGAAGGTGACAGATGCAATCCTTCAAATGCTCATGGAGTCGTTTTCAAGAAGTAGTTGTTTAATAGGAGATGGAAAATGTAACGGCCAGACTTAGGTTCGAACCCAGATCGCTCCGAATTCTAGACAGACAGTATACCAATTGAGCTACCTGGTCGCCAATGATCGACCCAGTCCAGTTCCGCTACAGTTGAAACAATAGGTCATTCAGACCAAGAATGGAATCATTGTAAATGTTAGATACCTGAATATCACTTTCATCATTTTTTTTGTTATAAATTGTCAATGCGTACTAATAATTTTAACAAAGTATATTAATGAAATATTTTATTGATAATTACACAATATAATGAGTATAATGAAATACAGCAGCACATCAAACAGGACAGAAAACATTGTCATTTTACCCAATTAAAATTTAACTTGTTTTGTGGACGAAAAGGTATGTATTTGACTTTCAAAGAAAAATATTAAATAAATAAATAGAAATAAAATACATTGAATAATCACAATCTGAAAGAAATGTTTGATTAAGTATAGGTAATTAGGGTATTATGACTTTGTATGGATTTTACATACACTGATCCAAAACTTAACAAGCCAACTTCAAAAGTCTAAAATTCAAATCCAAACTTCAAGGCAGAAAATTAAAACAAAATTTCATAATTCTCCTGCAACCTATACTTAATGGGAAGAACAATACTGCAGTCATTTAGTGAAAAAGAAAAAAAGAAAATAATCTTTAGAAATTTTCAGAAATAACAGGTCCATGGGGTCTGTATCACTCACCTATTTAATTTCTTATTTAAACTTAATGCATGATTACAAGGGCATTTTGAAAATAAACTAAAAGTCTTAGCCAATCAGAGGACATAGTTGTCAGCATAATTTCCATTCAATTAAACATCTTTTTTTGTCAGGGGGATGTCACCATTCCAGGTTTCAAGTTTGTCTTTTTGTGGTGGATGTGGTGGAACCATGTCATGGTGATAAAGTTGGATAAGAAACCTGTCTTGGCTTTACTCCTTTTCAAATGTCTTTATCTAAATCTGTCCTAAATTCTTTTTTCTGCTCTTGTTTTTTCATTTTTTTTAAGTTAAACTCCAGAGTGGAATGAATGATCAAGATATTATTATAATTTTGGTTCAATTTATTTATTTTAATGTTCTTGGAAACATCCTTGTTTGGTTTTTAGGAAAAAGACGTGCTCCTATCATGCCAAAAATAATTCAAATAAAACTTCAATTTTTAAACATATACTGAAAATGTCAAAAAAACGGACCATGGAGACATGTTCTGGTGACACTCCCCTTTGATCTGCCTCTGCTTATTCAGGACATTGAGAAGATAAGTAATTCCACATTTTGGAGCTCCAGAACAAAAGACAGACAACAGATATTGTGCCACGGCATGCAATTTTACCTTTATGCAGGGCGAGCTAAAACTATAGCTAAAAAAATACACTATCTTCTAACATACAAAGACATCACAATTTATTACTGACCATAGCCCATCTTAAAATCCAAAACAGACTTCTAACAAATAACAGTAATGAGAATCAACATGTTTTCCCCACACACCTTGGTGGTAATCGTTGTAGTATAATGTAGGTAGACTTTCACAGTTTATATACAACACGACCTTAACCTATGTGCAACTGTTGTTCTAGTGTTTAAATAGGCCAATATATACATATATAACAAGTCCTGTATTTCAGAAAGCTTTTGTCACTCAACCTACTACCGCTAATGAACATTAATTTGTTACCACAAACAAATACTACTGAAAACCTTTTGACTGGTAAAGATACCTGTATCTGTAGTTTCTGCTGTAGTTTCTGCTTATATTGTATCAAAGAGATTTCAAATCGAATTTTAAAATATTCCTTACAAGTGGCTGTAAAAAGGATACATTTAACAATGTTTTAAAAGATGTGTCTAATATGTATATCTATATATACATACTTTGTGTATATAAAAAAAATAAAAAAATAACTCATTCATCCCTGAAGACAAATTTGAACTCTTCCAATTCAAAGGTTGGAATGGTCCATTATGAAATTTCAGGGGGGAATGATTAAATTGACAAAAGAATATGTTACATTTTGCAGTAACGTTTTCACTGTATTAGTTCCTCAGGGGGATGGTAACAGTACAGTATTGTATTTTCTGTCAATCCTCATATTTCATGATACTTTTCCATGCAAATTAAAGAGTGTTTAACTTCCCAAATACTCTAAAACGAACATAATCCAAATCTTCTGAAAAAAAGTTACAAAAAAAAAAAAATGGTTACCGTACTTCAGTAACATTTTATAATTTTCTGTAAAAAAAAAAAAAACATCCGACAAAAAGCTATGGTTAAATTTTTAATTTCTGATGAGATGCTATGAGAACAACTAAACAAAGAAAGAAAATCAGATAAAATAGATAGTGTGGAAAAAACATATACCGTACGTCTGTGAGAGATATACTTGTATCCGGATGACATATAGAATATTCTTAACAATATGAATACAACAATTCAAGCAATGATTTAGTTATGTGAGCTCTAAAATAGCAAAAATCTCCCTCACCTACACAATATTACATTGAATATAGTATTTGACATTTTTCTAAGCTGTATATTACTAAATAACATAAAGATTAAACAATTTCTTTAGACTATATGTTTTACAGTATCTTTCACAGTGTGAAACAACTACTGTCACTAATCCCCTATTTTATGAGTTGATGTAAATGGTCAAATTAACACCTGTTTATTTCCCCCCTAGAATCCTTCAAAACAAATCCCCACCCCCATCATCCCAACACTCATCCCCCCCCCCATCATCCCAACACTCATCCCCACCCCCATCATCCCAACACTCATCCCCACCCCTTCAATTGGAGCTTTTACACATTCAAGTTACACCATTCTCATCTATAAGAAATACTTTGCTTTTAAACCAATTCTGGAGGAATATGAGGTGTATTCCAATTCCTAATGGAGATGTACATGAGGTAAATGTTTTACAGAGTTCTCACCGTTTTTAGAGTTGGTATCCTGTTCAAGGATGAAGAAAATATAACCTTCTATATAGTTACCATAGCAACAAAACAACTATCTGATTGAAGTACAACTATATTGGTCCCATACTGTATGATCAATGTAATTAATAAATTACGCAACTACATCACTATTATAGTAATAGCTAGGCTTTACTTATAGTGATATCAGGGGTAGGTGGGTTTTTCTAATATAGTGTTAACATTTTCATCACAAATTTTCCTTTACTTATGTTAGTCATTAATCACTCAAAGGTGTAAAACCAGAAACTAATTTCATTGAAGGCTTTAAAATGCAAAAAATAAGAGGCGTGGACGGCATCAATAAGAGTTGGAGGTCACAGTACATAACAGACAACAGATTCAGTGAATTATCAAAATTATATCTAAACCAATAAATATGCATCAATCAACAGAAACATGTGAGAATATCAACTCATTCACCTGTACAGGTACATTGTATGTCATAGCTAGCGAGTGACTCACCTGTATATTGAGTGTCTTACTCACCTGTGAAGTGAATGATTGACTTAAATGAGTAGTGCATGAGTGCCTCACCTGTGTAGTGAGTGACTGACTCACCTGTGTAGTGAGTGATGGACTTGAATGTGTAGTGAGTGAGTGCCTCAACTGTGTAGTGAGTGACGGACTCAGCTGTTTAGTGACTGACAGACTCACCTGTGTAGTGAGTGACAGACTCACCTGTGTAGTAAGTGACTGACTCACCTGTGTAGTAAGTGACACTCACCTGTGTAGTGAGTGACAGACTCATCTGTGTAGTGTGTGAGTACCTCACCTGTGTAGTGAGTGACAGACTCACCTGTGTAGTGAGTGATGGACTTGAATGTGTAGTGAGTGAGTGCCTCAACTGTGTAGTGAGTGACAGACTCAGCTGTTTAGTGACTGACTGACTGACTCAGCTGTGTAGTGAATGATGGACTCAAATGTGTAGTGAGTGACTGACTCACTTGTATAGACTAAGTGAGTAACTGACTCGTCTGTGTAGTGAGTGACAGGTAAGGAAAGGTGGAGGTTCTGGAATACACCACAAACGAACAAAGTTAGTCTGAACGATCAGGAGTACATGCACCCCTGTTCCAAATAATAATTTAATACTTTGTAATTACCTCTCTGCAGTCTTTCAGTGTCCTAACTAACAAGATTCCATTGTAATGTAATAACATTATCTATGATTAATTTTACTACAGACATACTACACTGTCTTTATAATCTAATTTTCAATGTCAAAATTGCTCTACATTTTATACAACAAATATTAAAAACTAATCTATAATTACATCCTTTCAAATCAATAACAAAACCCAAACATTTATCTGTTGATAAAGACAAATATTTTTACATTTAAAAATGTCCAACATGTAAATGTTCAGAATATATACATACTTATTGTAAAACATATCATATATACAACTTGGTGTGTACAAAACAATCACATTCAGAAATAATATCTCAAAAACAATTATCTTTAAGGCACTTTAAATATGTACACTATTCAAACTCATTTAAATTCTTTGCAGTAACCGGAGAGGGCCTAGTAAGTTGTAAGAATTTTGCCCAATCCCTTCGACTATTCAGCGTCAATAAAATATGTTTGAATTGAAACCTTTGCAAATTTAAAAATCAATATACAGGATCATGTATTCAAATTACCCAATAAAGCATGCATACTAATAATCTAAAATACCTGGTACCCCATAAACCAGACATCACACAATCTTTTACCATTGTGGTTTGTGGACAATGAGATAATTAAATTACTTAAAGTATGTGTTAAACCAACTCAAATATTCTCATGCTTATCTTTAACTGTAAAATCACAAGTACTTACCTGAACATACCTGTATTCCAGAGTTATGGATGTTACCTAAAGATACCTTTATGTTAATGACACATGTGTTTACCTGTATCTATATGTCAGAATTGCAGGTGTTTATCTGAACATACCTGTATTCCAGAGTTATGGATCTTACCTAAAGATACCTTTATGTAAGTGACACATGTGTTTACCTGTATCTGTGTGTCCAAATGTCTACACTTTCTACATACATATCTACAGATAGGAGTCATACCTATATACTTTATACACAAAGTAGTATACTTCTTAACAGTATACAAATTAATCACGGAAAATTGTCCACATCAAATATAAATATATTCACAGACATTAAACACATCTCTAAGCTGTATGCATGTCGACTTCAAAACCTGGTGATCATAACTATGAAAACTGAAAATATTATATAATTTGAAATAATCTGCCATTTAAGCATTTAAAAAATTAAATTGGCATACGGATAAACTAGAGTGCATTATAAAATATATAGTTAGTAACATATACATCTCAGCTGATATGTCATACATCATGTATATTGTTATGTCAGTTAGTTATAACACCTGTAGCAAGGATAGGGTGTTATTCTTTGTCCTTTAAAAGGCAGTCTTCAGCAGAAGGACCCAAACCATACCTTTGTTAAGTTTGGCCTTGGCAAGACCATGCTGTAATGAGATTGACGACAGCCTCCTTTTAACTTACTCTGCGGCCAAATTACTCAATGGTGCATTAGCTTAAGAAGATGAAGCAAATTGTGTCATCTTGTATATTTTCAAAAATATTAAAATTTAAATTTGATTTTTTTTTTCCAGAGTTAAACCCTTGATTGTACTATGAAATACACTTACTCACATTTAGGTTCACTGATGTTGGTCAAAGTCAACTTACAATGCATTCAAAAAGTAAAAACTGTAAACAGAAGCAACCAATACAATGTACACGTATAAGTACAAGTTTTGTGAGTGAATATACAAAGGGCATAAAGGGCCTGTATCATCTGATGTCCTAATACTTGCATTTGTATAAAAAATGAGGGAATAGCAAAGGGCATAAAGGGCATGTATCATCTGATATTCTAATATTTGCATTTGTATAACATTTACGGGTTATAAAAATTATGGTCATGATGTGAAAATATAAACAAATCAAACCTTATGAGTTCTAGATCCGTAACATCATAAAAATATAACCAATTATTATCTAGAGAACTAAAAAATACACATACCAAAACAATGCTGAATGGTGCTCTACCGTTTGATGTGTTATATACTGTTCTTGTTAGTTTCAAGTTATTTCATGATATAAATGAAATAAAACAATCACATATATTTATAATATGTTTAAGTTAGAAAGCAAACAAAATCCGTTACTTTCATAGTCAGTGTGCGAAAAATACTACATGGATGATGATCAAACCATTTCAGAAAATTTTCATAGATCTATCACAAATAACATTAGATCTATACCTATATATGATGATTACCAGAGACTAAATTCTATGTAAGTCTGATCTATCACAAATAACATTAGATCTATACCTATATATGATGATTACCAGAGACTAAATTCTATGTAAGTCTGATCTATCACAAATAACATTAGATCTATACCTATATATGATGATTACCAGAGACTAAATTCTATGTAAGTCTGATCTATCACAAATAACATTAGATCTATACCTATATATGATGATTACCAGAGACTAAATTCTATGTAAGTCTGATCTATCACAAATAACATTAGATCTATACCTATATATGATGATTACCAGAGACTAAATTCTATGTAAGTCTGATCTATCACAAATAACATTAGATCTATACCTATATATGATGATTACCAGAGACTAAATTCTATGTAAGTCTGATCTATCCCAAATAACATTAGATCTATACCTATATAAGATGATTACAAGAGACTAAATTCTATGTAAGTCTATCATAAATATCATACACCTTAAAATAAAATATTTAGACTAACTATCCAATTTAAAAAAAAAAAAGTTGAGAATCCCACTTGTAAGTAACCATCCTAAAGATGAGAAAATCGGTCGCAATGTTAAATCATTGAGAAATCTCTTGAAGAAACCGCTGACTTCAGATGTCTGATACCAAGTAGAGTCTGTGTGCCATCTTAGTGTATTCTTGATGACGTGTGTTCATATCTTCCATAAGATTCATCAATTTGGAAATATGTAATATCAAAGTTTTACTTTCTACACAAACAATGTACGTGTTAAACATGTCGTAACATTTCAGGACCAACTGCTCCCTTTGTTAAGCGAATACTGAGCGAGCGATTTGTATTTTTTAACGGTACAACAATGTCATTATGTGACAAAATTGTATGTTTTTTATGTTCCTCTAACTGGGAATTAAGGATGTCCCGCCTATCGATAGAGAGAGTATACACACTGAATCGAATAGTATGTGCTTTATATCGACAGGCAAAACGTCCCGGGTCAATATAACATTGAGTTCAGATTTTACTGAGATTCTGTGTGAAAGGAGAGTTATCCAAAAAAACAAAACAATTAACGAAACTATTTTCAGTCAAGCACTCTACGGTATTGCTTATGTTATCCACAGTTTGGGTAGCACTGATACTCTGATACATGTAGTATGATGTATTGTTACTTGGTAAAATCACAGATTATTTTCATCATGTGTTAAATCTTCTAATAATCTAAAATTAGTGACTTGTGCAAAATAGTTTAATAGAATCATCATATCTGTGTAGTATAATATATGGCACAATTTCATAAATATAAAATGACAAAATATATACCTGCAGAAAATAAAATAAAAACTGAACAATGAAAATAGTCAAATTTAAATAAATTGTTATGTCAAATCTAAAATTATGTGAAAAAAACCTACAAGCACTACTTGAAAATCTTAAACAGGTAAATTTATATATAAAGCTGGCATGTGGAAACTGCTTTCTATGAAGAGATACTGTAATACAACCTCAGTATTTATGATCTGTGTACCTCCGCGGACTGTTCCCTCTCAGCCGTGAGGACGAGTAGTGAGGAGAATCAATACCCATCGGCAGACTTTGTGAGCCGTCCAAATACGCACCCCTGTTGTACTCTCTAGTGCCTGCTTTGTATACCCTGGAACCTGTCCCTCTCTCACTCTCCCTAAACTTCGTACTGCTGTCTTGTCGTAATGTTGTGGCCTTGACTGGTGTGGCCTTCCCAGTCCTGAGACTCGTCTGTTTTAGCCTTGCTCCATTTGACGTGCCAACCAAAGCCTGTTTCATCTGTGGAGGAGCTCTGGACGAGCCCATGCCACGAGGACTTGACAAGGCTGCGGAGCTACCTTGAGAAGCCAGTATTTGTTCACTGACCTTCTTCTTGCTACCGCTACTTGACCTTGGGCGAATTTCCGAAGAATCACTGCCAAGTGCCTTTGATCTTGAACTTACTGAACTTCCACTCCTTGGAGACTCGTACTTCCCACTGGATGTAACTGGCTCTCGTGATCGTGAAGACAATGGTCTTTCCTCACTTCTGCCTCTTACTGAAGTTTTATCCCTCAAAGACTGACGTGAGCTTGGCTCTGTAACTCTGTCACTAGCAATACTTTTAAATGCAGATGAGTTACTTGCCCCTATCACGCTGCGACCACTAGTAGATCCTGAGCTAGAAAAACCAGACGATTTGCGATCTGTCCTCTGGAGGGAGCTTGATCTTCTTGCAGGAAGCCGTTTTGCATCTGAACTACTTCTAGCCCCGATAATATCATCATCCTTTGACAGCTGCCTAGAACTTGGTCTCAATGTTTTTGTGTTGCGGATTGCCCCACCATGAGTCTTGGACAGAGTCCCATAACGATCAAGTGACTGAGCTATTGCACTGTCAAGACCATTGTCTAACAGGGACTTGATGAGAACAATGGAAGTGACCACTCCATCAAGATCATTGTTAACTAGATGGACCTCCCGTAAATGGCAGCTTTCTCCACTTTCACTGTGAAATATCAACAGGCCATCCAGAAAACTCTGAATGGACACATCCAGCGGACAGCCAAAAATCCCTGTAATATAAAACACAGCATTTTTGTCACACCCCCTGTAATATACAACACAGCACTGATGTCACACTCCCTGTAATATACAACACAACATTAATGTCACACACCCTGTAATATACAAAGCATGATCAATGTCAAATAAATGACCTTCATCCATTTTCAAGGTCACAGGGGTCAAATATGTTTAAAACATTTAAACAACTTCTTCTGAATAACCAAGAGGCCTAGGGTGATGATATTTGGCTAGTAACATGCTGGGATGAAGGGCTACCAAGTTTGTTCAAATGAATGACCTTCGCCCATATTCAAGGTCACAGTGGTCAATATATGTTTAAATCTTTAAATGATTTGTTCTGTATAACCAAAAGGTCCAGGGTAATGATATTTTGCTAGAAGCATGCTGGGTTATGGAAGACTATAAACTCTGTTCAACCTAATGTCCTTGTTCAACATTCAAGGTCAAGGGCGTCATATATCTAAATCTTTTAATAGGTTCTTATTAATCAAACACTGATATTCTGCCTGTAGTTGTATTTTAGTCCACTTTTAATAAGATTACAAGTATAAAATTAATACCAGGTGAGCGATTCAGGCCCATTGGGCCTCTTGTTATTAATATCTATGGATGTTGAACAGAATCCAGGACCCCAACATATCACAATAGCTAATCTAAATGTTAGATCCCAACATAACAAGATTGGTATTATTGAAGCATTAAATTCCTGTGATGTTATATGCCTAACTGAAACACATCTGACTGACAGCATACCAGATAATGAAATAACAATAGACTCACACACCAACATCCCCCATCTTATGTATACATGCACTGGTATTGAATATGATAATAGATACTGCAGAGCTGTGCACCTTGATGAACACTGATGACTTGTGAGAAGCATAGTTGATTGATATACTCATTTCCTTTATATTGTTTGAATTTCATCTATCGTAAACATTGAAGAAATAACATGCACTTTTTACATGTGCGGCTGGGAGCTATGTGTGCAACCAATTCCTGAGTGGAAGACTATAGGGGGAAGAACCCATCGACCTTACAGCCAGAAACTCACAGGGGTTGATTCGGCACTTATCCCTCAGCTGCATTTGTATATATTAGCATGTATTAAACTTTTATATCATTGCAAAATTTAAAATCAAATTACAAAAAAGTATAGCAAGTCAAATGTCAAAATATATGATAAACTTAGTCTTACTGTATATTACTTAATTTCCATTTCTACTGGATATTATTTGAACAAAATGTATTGTGATATGGAAAGAACATAATATAGGCTTTAGCCAGGTGTTCAATCCAATTGATCATGATTATCAATAAAATTTGTTGAAATCAAATATGGTAGCTATTGGTTCTTTATCAAAATTACGTAATTAAGATATATTCATGTTTGAAAAGCACTTAAAGGTAACATACCTGCACTTATACAAGGCAATGATACGGAGTCCAACCAGATTTTCTCAGCATATCGGAAGCAGTTTAGGTATGTGAGAATCAGCTCAAATGTGCACCTCCCTTTGATAGCCTCGATCCAGATAGGTCCCACAGCATGGAGGATATAGTTCACCTCACGGTTAAGTCTGCCACCAGCTTGTGTGTGTACAACTGTTGTAGTCTCCAAGGCTCCATATTTTCTTTTCAATTCTTCACATTCCTGTTGCATGCTGGGACCTGCTGCCATGGCGATAGCTCCTGCTATGCCTGCCCCATGAGCGAGGTAGCCATTGGCTGCATTAACAATGCCTGAGGTTTTCACCTCAGTAATGTTGCCCCTGAATATTACCACTTTGATGTACCCAACATAAAACTCATAAGAGTCCACAACAGAATAATCCTCAACAGGACCGCTAGACTTCAACGAGGCAGAAATCGCTTTCTCTAAGTCCAAGTCTGTAGAGGAAGCTGTAAAACCTTCTCCATATGACTTTTTATATTCGTCTGATTCAGACAGCCTTGAACTTGAGTGACCAGGTGTCGCACCATTGTAAACATCATGCTGTGATGACATGACAGGTAAGCTACTGAACCGATTATCCACATCGACTGTTCCTTGAGATCTGGCACTATTCAACATGTCATTTGTATCTCTGGCATGAGAACCAGTCCCATTGACAGTGTTATAATTGTGAGCCTGCCTCAGTCGGGTGTCAGAGTCATTGCTTCCTCTCCGCGATGAGCTCTTTGCAACAGAATCTGAATGTTCTGTAACACTGATTTGTGAAGAAAAGTGCTTAAAAGTGTCATTTTGATCTTGTTGTCTGTGTTTTTGGTAGCTTATACTCATCACTTCTGTTTCCGAGTCGTCAGAATTCATTTGTACATCATCCAACAAAGATCTAGACTGGTGCCTTGGAACTGTATACGTTTTACTTCCTCTGCCTCCCACTTCCTCACCTGTTGCTCTGGTGTCTGTTTGGTGGGAAGGAGATACTATTTCTACCTGAAATGTTAACGTATCACAATTTAGCAAACCTAAGCAAACCAACAAACAGGGATAAAGACAAGAAACCTTACAATAACAGCATAACAGGTCGTTCATATTGTCTTTGAATATTACCTGCACCTGACCTGCATTTAATAGCTTATACATATATGACTTAATGATTATTAAACTTATAACATTCACGGACAGTTATCGCTCCAATCTTGGAGTCTTTGTCCGTTTTTGGAAGAAGAAGAACATGAAAAGTTTATTGAAACCTTGCCATACAGCATTACATAACCTTACAACTAAATGTTACGTATCTGATTTCCATAGTAACCATTTCCCACACATCCACTTTTTCTATTTTGTATTAAACACACCAATTATGTTTGATTTACTTGTCATTCACAGTTTCAGACTTGAATTTCAACTCAGAAAAATTTCAGGAAGACCATAATTACACCAAGTTTAATGAGCAGGTTTCTAAAAACTTCTACAATATATGTTCACAATTAAGGTGAATGTCAATTTTTTCTCACATACATAAAACTCACCCTTGGGAATAGGTGATCATAAGTTGTTCCTTGCAGTGAAGAATAGTTTCTGGAATAATCATCTGACGGAGATGCTAGATGCCGATGTGCTGAATGGGAAGTGTGTCCAGTACCTCTGTCTGCCTCCGACCTGTAACTAGAGTAACCTCCCTTGTCTCCCTCAGACCTTTGACCAGAGTGATGTCCCTTGTCTGACTTTGAACTGTAACTAGAGTGGCTTTCCTCATTTGTCTTTGACTTGAAACTCTTACCTCTCTTATCGCCTACCTTCCGTTGGTTGTACTTATGTGATGTGTACATTTCTTCACTGTCGCCTTGTACATAAGGAGTATTTGCTGCTGATGATGATTTTGTTGCTGCTGCTGATTTTTTCTGCCCCATTCCTCGAACTTCCTCTGCGATGTCATCCTCAAACGGTGTCGAGGATATAATGCTGTCTGTAACGCTCGCTCCCACAACACTATACTGGGAGTCTTGCATTTTCCTACCAGCAGAATAAGGATGTGGCACTGACGATCCGTTTCGGGGGGTTCCTTCATCAGAATCATCACTGTCGTCTTCTAAATCAGTAGATTTTCCCTGAGGACGATAGCGCGCCCGTGACTTGTCATCACCATTTTCTGTGCTAAGTTGCTGTTGAAGGCGATACTGGATCTTCTTCTGGTATCCCATTGCCAGGTGTATGATCTGCCAGGCACGTTCAATCTGATACCAGTCACCCTTCAGGCTGCAACTATTGTCCTCTTCATGAGAGCAGATCTCCACATCAGCATAAAATTTAAGCTCATCATAGATATCAGTAGTACCCAGAACAATCGAAGAAATATCTGGTTCTAACTTGGCTTCAATTGTTGTGAAAACCTGAGAAAACGGAAAATTCATACATTGATACAAATAATAATTAATTATATATGTGAACTCTGAAAAACAGCTGATTACCAGAGAGTATATATTAACCAATGTTAGTCACACAATATAAACAAGTACTACATCACTTTATACACTTTATACACTTTACAACATATATTTTGAATGTTTCATTGCCAACAGTATCAAATCGTAGGTAGATTTCATTCAGTTTTTGGAAACAATGGATCCAACTTTTGCAATACATCGTGTACATGTAATTTTAATGAGGTAGATATCACATTTGACAAATTGTAAAACTTAATTAAGTATATGTACTTAAGGGTATAAGCTACCTTACAGTAATACAAATCATACTTAAGGGTATAAGCTACCTTACAGTAATACAAATCATACTTAAGGGTATAAGCTACCTTACAGTAATACAAATCATACTTAAGGGTATAAGCTACCTTACAGTAATACAAATCATACTTAAGGGTATAAGCTACCTTACAGTAATACAAATCATACTTAAGGGTATAAGCTACCTTACAGTAATACAAATCATACTTAAGGGTATAAGCTACCTTACAGTAATACAAATCATACTTAAGGGTATAAGCTACCTTACAGTAATACAAATCATACTTAAGGGTATAAGCTACCTTACAGTAATACAAATCATACTTAAGGGTATAAGCTACCTTACAGTAATACAAATCATACTTAAGGGTATAAGTGACCTTACAATAATGTGTCTCCATTCCAAACTAGTTTGTCTCTAAGACAATTCGCAAAATTTCTTAAATGAATCATAAGTTGAATCCTTTAATTAATTGAAGACAAACTAAATAGGTATACATAGTAACTGTATGCATTAATCCTCAGATAATTTTAATAACAAATGTATGAGAAACAACTCAAGTCGGAAGTATCTTGTGTAAGGTAGCATATATCTTTAACTCTAACACAAGTCGTGGCTATATCGTGTGAGGTAGAAATCTTACACAAGTCACAGGTATTTTATTTATTTTTATTTTACAACAATTATGAAACAAGTATTTACAACTTATATCAATCACTCCTGTTAGCCGAGATGTTAGTGGGCAACAGGTTTTAATGTTCGAGGAAACCGTAATATCCCAACAAAGCCCACGTGGTCGGGCAGGTGACCCCATATCTGTTTACATACGATCAGGTGAAAGTTGAGTGTGTTATCCACTGCGCCATCCAAACACCCATCAGTATACTGTATATAAGATGCATTTTTGAATAGTGACCACTATGGGAGGCAAAATCTATTATTGTACAAATGGAATTATCGAAAATTAAATCTTAATTGTATACTCACCATTGGAGGCAGTCTACTCAGCTTGATAGAGGTACCGTGTAACAAATGTTTGGGTATTGACAGGATATTATGTACAACTGGAAAACAAAACAAAATTATATTTCATGGCATTAAAATACAACTGGGACTTGTTATTGCGATGTGGCAAAAATTGAAATTTCATATAACAAAATGTGTATTTTTGACTGTTGAATGGCTTGAACCAAATAATGTTGGGGAAAGACTCCCCAGGGAGCCCCTTATTGAGTTAACATTCTGGCTCTGCTGAGGGTTAGAGACCCAAATAATGTTGGGGAAGAGAGCCCCTTATTGAGTTAACATTCTGGCTCTGCTGAGGGTTAGAGAACCAAATATTCATCCTAAGTGACGGAGATTTCTCTGTTACACTCTCAAGTTAGGGAATGATTATACTTTATCTCAACCCATTATTTCATTGATAACTCCACTGAAAGAAGTCTACATAATGTTGTGTATAAATATCATCATTTTCATTTTTCACTTTTATGACGTCACAATTTAGCGTATGCTATTTTGCACAAGGCTATTCTCCCCCAGGGGATAACAAGGTGATCTTTCCTGACTAAACGAAGACACACCTGCGAAGGGTAGGAGAAATTTGTGTTCACAACATTACATTTTCGGGGGATTTTTTGTGGATGTGTTAAGGTAAACAAGAGGCCTAATGGGCCTGCATCGCTCACCTGGTATAAAACTCACACTTGTAACCTTAAAAGTGATCTAAAATAAAGCTACAGGCAAAATATCAGTATTTATGATCAAAATTCGTTCAAAAGACCCTGTTAACTTTTTTAAAACATTTCACCCCTGTGATTGAAAGTCGAACTAAGTCAGTATGTTGAACACGTTGTATAGCCTTTCATCTCAGGATGCAACTTGCAAAGTATCAACATCCTGGGACCCATGGTTATTCATAAGAGGCTGTTTAAAGATTTTAAACAAATTTGACCCCTGTGACCTTGAATATAAACTTTAACAAACATAGTAGTCCTTGATCCCAGCATATGCTACTAACTAAATATCAACATCCTGAGCCTTTTGGTTATTCAGAACAAGTTGTTAAAATATTTTAAACATATTTGCTCCTTGTGACCTTGAATATGATTCAAGGTCATACATTTAAACAAACTTGGTAGCCCTTGATCCTAGTATGCTACTGACTAAATATCATCACCCAGGGCATTTTGGTTATTCAGAAGAAGTTGTTTAAAGTTTTTAACATATTTGACCCCTGTGACCTTGAATATGGGTGAAGGTCATTTATTTGAACAAACTTTGTAGCCCTTTATCTCAGCATGCTACTGGCCAAATATCATTACCCTGGGCATTTTGGTTATTGAGAAGAAGTTGTTTAAAGTTTTTAACATATTTGACCCCTGTGACCTTGAATATGGGTGAAGGTCATTCATTTGAACAAACTTTGTAGCCCTTCATCTCAGCATGCTACTGGCCAAATATCATCACCCTGGGCATTTTGGTTATTCAGAAGAAGTTATTTAAAGGTTTTTTTAAGACAATTGACCCTTGTGACCTTGAATATAATTGGAGGTCATTCATTTGAACAAACTTAGTAGCCCTTCACCCTAGCATGCTACTGACCAAATATCATCTCCCTGGGCAGTTTGGTTATTGAGAAGAAGTTGTTTAAAGTTTTTAACATATTTGACCCCTGTGACCTTGAAAATAGATGAAGGTCATTTATTTGAACAAACTTGGTAGCCCTTCATCCCAGTTTGCTTCTGGCCAAATATCATCACCCTAGGCCTTTCGGTTATTAAGAAGAAGTCATTTAAAGTAAAATATTGACGCCGGACGACGAACGGACGACGGACGCCGCACCACGGCATAAGCTCACTTGGCACTTCGTGCCAGGTGAGCTAAAAAGGACAAACTAATTCACCTAAAAAATCAACCATTAATTACTTACTGTCATCATTTTTAAACAAAATGACAGCGTCGTTGTCGAGGAGGGGGTAGTAAATCTTGCGGATATCTCCACCTCCATTCTTTGGATTTCTAAAATACATCTTCAGGTCCTTATCAGTTGTCAAATGTTTATCTAACCCCTTTACCCGGATCCCTGACTGTCCATCCATCTTGTCACTGTTGTGTTGTTATACACCTCAGCTGTGATATGTCATTAGATCACATGACGACCTACAATGAAACAGTGTAAAAACATGTATAACTGATGAACCCTGTAACAGGAATAGGACTGCTGTACTTCACCCGACATAGGCATATACTGTATACATCTTATATTTCAGGCAGCATTATTGTTGTGGTTGTCATATAGAAATATTCCACATCGTGCTTTGTATATTCGTTACTCTGGCTTTTTATATTACATGTATTACAGTATGTTTAAAACTGGAAATTGGTTGTAGTTAGGATCAACACTGAATTCCCAGACAACATGTCTATTTCAACATACTGTAAATTAAGGGAAAGCTAGCACCTAAATGTTCTTGATACTAACTTAAGCAGCTACAAGAAGAAATGCACCTACAACCAGGGCTGTTAGGTTCCCATGAGCCATCTGTATCAGCCTGGTAGCAAAAGCCAAACCATGTCTTTCAGTGTCATTAGTGGCACATATGGATACATAAACTCTGTTATTGGGCCCCGCCCCTCAGCCCCCAATGGTTCCACACCACTTTTTATAAATTGATGTGTTCCCCTGGCCAAAGAATGATCAGTAAATTGTAGTAGTCTTAATAAGCTTTATCTAAAGAACATCATCAAGATCTCAACACAAGACATCATCTTAGGAAGAAAATCAGTAAATCAAAGACAAACAGATATCAGCAATTTGTTCCAAAATAAGTAAGATGGGAGAAGGTGCAATATTCTTGGCAATGTTTAACCAAAAGAACATGAAGACATTTTACTGACCTAGTACTAATTAGGGTCCTCAGAGAAACTTTTGGGTTTAACAGTAAACTTCAGTTGACCGGCTGCTCAGTTGGTTAGAGCAGTTGTATATTAATCTGAAGTCCAGAGTTTGAATCCTGCTGATTTATAACACTATAAAAACACTGCTGTTTATTAGTTCATCTTTATTATATTCCATTAAAGACATTGAACGTATTGTTTACAATTCAGAAATGATTTATCAACTCGTGCCAGAAAAAAGTCAGTTCTCAGTGCATAGTTACGGTTTTTGGCAGCGGTCCGGGATCATAAACCAAAGTCTGTGGTAAGACATAAAAGGATCACATCATAAAAGAAACACACAGAGGTTACAAATACACTCTTATGTATCATCAACATAGTTTTAACAACACTGCTCCTGTAAAACATACCATAACAGCAGGACAATGGTAAAACAGGAACTGGTGGACATACTGATGACAGACTTTTCTCAACATAACAAAACTACCCAAATTGATGTCTCAAACAACGTTATACCACCAGATATACTGGACACATGAGGATTGCACTAAGGTCGATCTGTAGCTCACTGCCCAATGTAGACCAGTATAGGTTCTATTAAGGGGTCATCTGACACCAATGCAAACAAGATCAAGTGTATTTCGTAGTCCTGCCTCTTACGCTTGGAGGGTTAGATATTGGAATGACCCTTTTCTTTAAGTCTTACCCTCTGAGCTTTCAAATTCATTTTTAATTAACTAGTTTGCTAAGACTGACCATAAGCACAGGCTCCAAAAATTAGAATATTATTTAAATTCTTCAGGGTATTTTCTGCAATGCAACTAAACTTTACGTGCAACTGTTTGTTCAATCTACATCCTTTATTACGCAATATTAAACCAATACACATGTAATAGGAAAGAGAATAGTGTGCTTCCAGTTTAGCTCCGACTCTTTGAGCGTCCAACTAGGAACCTGGAGATCGAGGGTTCGATCCCCAGGTTCCTAGTAGGACGCTGAGCTAAAGGGAAATTCCCTCTAGCTCGAAGCTAGAAGGCGACCTTTATCCTATGTACAATTGAACCCTGCCACACTACTCCCCTTTTTAAATATGTTCGCCCTCGAACACCACAACCCAGGTTCTAACTCCCTATCACTACAAGAAGGGCCAGACACCATTTGTAACAGGAAAGAGAATAGTGTGCTTCCACTGGGGATCAAACCCCCTCTCAAAGCTAGAAGGCGACCTTAATCCTATGTACAATTGAACTCTGCCACACATAGTTAGAAATTGCCTTCTCAGCTCCATGCTTCAGGAAATTTCCTTTTTGCCTTCTAATTTCGCACTTCGGGGAATTTCCCTTTAGCTCAATTGGTACAGCCGTGGGCTGGACGCAGCCAGGGGTCATTGGTTTGATACCCAATGAAAAAACTCTACTCTCACTGACCTGTTACATAATATAATAAATACATCAAGTATGCAACATTGAACAATAGGTTTTAAGTAAGTCATGATCACTTCAAGCTTTATTGCATTCAGACATCACGAATCCAAACGGACGCCTGCAATTAAAAACTTAACTTAACTTAAAACTAAAGCTGATCCTTAGATATCTGAATATCACAAGTGAAGTGATAATGTGAGAACAACTGCAGCAGTGCAGGTGCCCTTTTTATCGACAATGCAAACAAAATAAAGATGGTCTTGGTAATCAACATTTAACAGTGAATTATTCATGGTATACGTCATCATAAAGAAATATTGATAAACCATTTCTCACCTCAACTAAAAGAAGGAATGTTTACATCTCATATGGCAACTTCAAAACGAAAGTTGAAGCTTGATTGGTGAAAATTAATAACATCAAAGAGCTCCTGCAAGATAAGACAACTCTGATCGGAAAAGGTAAGAATGACAAAATGTTGAGTTGTGCTATGTGTTCAATGCTTGTTTACTAAACATAAATATAAGTTTAATTTGTGTTGTTTAAATTTCTAGTATGAAACTTAAAATCTATAAATGTAATGATACAGAAACAAGTCATTTTTGAGCGTCTCTAGCAACAGAAAAATCACGTCATATAAAAGCTTGAAAACAGTCACGCTCTGCTTCAGAATTATTTTATGTGCCTCCATATAGGGGCTATAACCTACCCGGTCATGCTTGACTGACATTATGCGTGTACACAGCAGCAGCCACGTACTACGTTGTAAGACCCTTACACAGTAATTTCTCTAATAGGACATTTCTGGGATGTGCCAGTAGACGAGCATTGGTTTTTCAAGGTAACATCATTTAATATCATTGTAATAGATAAATCATCATGATCATTTTGATGGTGGCATCATTGCTTCTGACACTACCGGTTTACTCAGTAGATTGATGAGCCTGTTGTTAGTAGCCCATGTGTGACTATGTACATATAATATAACAACGTCTCCCTTTCGATCGATTGTCACTGACGATATATAGGTAAAACAATGCATGGAGCATTAATCTGCTCCATGAATATTATCCGGGCGTTGCAATGATGCACTAAGCTTAGGCCTATATATCAGCTGTATATATACTGTAGTCAAGTTCAGGTAATTCCCTAAATATGATCAACAGGTTGGGCACAATGGCGCATATGGGTAACATCTTTGTATGTTATGGTTGAATGCACTTAAAATCTACTTTCACTATCCTATATAAAAAATCTTTTTTTTTTTTACTACACTTACGTTATTGAAAATCGCCATATCTATTGGTTATTACAAACAACTTTTGGTTGAAAAGTTTTTGGTTTTGAAAGTATTTCACGACCTTTGAAGCCTTAGAAAATCCGAGACATCTAAAATCATGAAAATGTCCAAACACGAAAAAACTTAAATAAGATAAATTTTGATTTTTTTATATAGGATAGTGAAAGTAGATTTGAAGTACATTCAACCACAGGTGCTCGGGGCCTGGAATATATGTGATATATAATCGCACCCCCTTATACTAATGTGATTTATTAGTATATTTAGGGGGTGCAATATCTAGTGGGTGCGATTATATATCACATATATTCCAGAACCCAAGCACCTGTGGGTTTAAGTATATAGTCTAGCATATCCATGCACGCAATACTTCCTGTCGACAACATTACAATTGGGCTCCCACATATTTTTAACTCCCCCCACACACACAGCCACAATATTTATGACAATGTGCTGTAATTGTAGATGAACTAAATTGAAGTAGAAATACTCATAAGTTACTTCAGATAGTGTCATAAATTTCATCACATTTTTTTCATGCATATACCCATATGTTGCTTCTGTAACAGGAAAGAGAATAGTGTGCTTCCACCGGTGATTGGTCCCACGACCCCATACTTCCTAGTCGGATGCTCTACCACTGAGCTAAAGGGAAATTCCCTCTCACATGAAGATAGAAGGTGACCGTAATCCTATGTACAATAAAAATATTTGCCACACTACTCCCCACTTTTCAAATGTGTTCACCCTCGAACAACACAACCGAGGTTCTAACTCCTTCATGCCACCACAGGGAGGGCCATGGACACCATTTGTAACAGGAAAGAGAATAGTGTGCTTCCACCGGGGATCGAACCCTCAATATGAACTGAACTGTAACTTGAAATTTGAACTGAACTATATCCTGTAATTTTTATGATGTCATTTTATTAAGTTATTTTATTTTGGAAACTAGTATTATGATTTCATGTATGATGTCAAATTATGTCTAATTTGAAATCATTTATGACAAAGGGAGGAAGTGAACCATACATACGTAATTTCCTAGTAAAACATTTATCATTACACATATTATTGACAATATCCTGAGGCAGTACATGCTTACCCGTGGTCATTATGCCATAGGTGTAGTAATTCTGTCTACTTACACCTATGTGATATTTGTACCCGACGTCTTGTCCAGTATATTAATATTAAGACACGGACAAGGATTGTCTTTTGCTTTATTTTATGGGTCACTGAGTTCCTGGTAGGTAGGGTATAAAATAATAGATAATTTATATGGCAGCACGCTACACCAGTACACAATAAACAAGCATCATCATCAACAACATCCAGACTTATTATATTATAGATCCCTAGGTTCCTAGTTGGACGCTCTACCACTGAGCTAAAGGGAACTTCCTTCTAGCTCGAAGCTAGAAGGCAACCATAATCCTATGTACAATTAAAATACCTGCCACACTTCATTAGTTTATTAGTGAAATATCATAGCATCATAATAACAGTATTTGTAACAGCCAAGGTCTAAGAGCTAGAGAAGAATACTGCCTTACTGGCAAGCTAGCTTTTCCAGCGTTGTGGTATTCCCTAGTGACGCACTTATTAGTTCAGCAACATCAAGCGTGGCCAGTAGCTGGATGAGTGCTGCCTGCATGTTACATTTAGTGGCAGTGGAATGATACTGGGGTACTATGTAAGGCCAGTCCTGGCGGTTCATTGGTGCACAGGGAGGACCCGCAGGATTCCCTAGGCCCGTCTCGGGATGAGACTTCACAGAAAGGGGGATAGTGAAGCAGCCAAGTAATAAGAGAAGAAAACACTGCCTTTCTGGCATGCTTCTCAGGTTTTATTGGTCCCAGTTACAATATTAGACCAGTGGGTAGTCATTTGCTAGAGTACTGTAAAGTTTCTTCATATAGATCTATAACCTTGATCGATTTTCAAGATCATAGGCCAAATATATCGGAAAGATCTACAGCCATGATATAAAGATATTTTTTTATGTAGACCAACAGTGGCATTATGTTCTTAGATATTGTGTTGAGGTTAAAGGTCAACTTTTACCACTAACCGAGGTCATACTGTCAGTCAATGACTTGATCTACTTTCAAGTCACAGGGGTCCTTGGGTAATTACTAGTACTTGGAAATTGTTTGATTCCTGCCCTGAAATCATATCCTAGACGTAAAGAAATTAACAAAATAATACTTCCAGAATTAGCTCTGGGTTCCAGCCCCACCCCTGAGAACTAAGTCCTTAGGTCATAACTTTGAAACTATTGAGATCCTAATCCTGTTACTATATAACTGTTTGCTAGGGACAAAGAAATGAACACAATCTTGTTACCAGGATTGGCCTTAAGGCCTGACACTGACCCTTAAGACTAAGTCCCAGGGTCATGTCATTGAAACAATTGAGACCCAGTCCTATAACCTTATACACATATAGATCTAAACCAAACTTGCTTTGACTTTTGCTTAGAACCAAAGAAAAGGAGCATGGCAATATTTATATTCTTTCTTTTAATGGGAATCTTTTGCCATGATTGCTGAAACATCCAGTTCAATGATTTGAGATCAGGCACTCAGGACCCTTTGTCACAATTTGCAAGTTATTGCTAATAAAAGTAACTTCTCCTTACAATGAACTTTCATCTCCACTTTCAGATTGTTTTGGAACTAGATAGAGATGGTGGACCCTACCGTAGCCAGACGAGCAGTGTCGCGCTATAGGTTGTACCTGGCGGCCGCGGTGCTCATAGCAGTAGCTCTTATCTCTTACTACTTCATGAATAAAGCACCTAGTCAGCATGCTAAGGATACATTTAAAAGTAGGTCAGGTATGAAATATAACCAAAATATAAAACAATGGAAACAAAGCAAATTCATCTCCAATAGTAATTTACAGTCACAGAAGGGTCAGAAATTGCAGTACCAAGCCAAGTCATACCAGCAGGTGACTGAAAATCCGCGACCTGCAGACAATTTTAAGCGGCCATTTGACGCACCTGTTGATCGTGTACCAGTAGTCCCATTTCTGGACAGATTGCTTGGTAGGGATGTGACCACCAGACAGACCCCCAGGAAACAGGGTCCTCTAGATGTATGGCGGATCATGAATGAGTCACGCTTCTACGGACCAGTGAGTGAGTACTCAGAGTTTTTCCATGGTATGAAACGTCTTGTGCACCTTGATCTGAAAGGTGCTCCACCAAACAAGCTGTACCTCCAGAAATTGTTTCCATTATTTAAAACTTTTGGTGCAACAGGAGTTATCTTGGAGTATGAGGATATGTTTCCTTATAAGGGCCGATTTTCTGTTGTGCCTGCTAAAAATTGCTACACAGAAGAAGACGTGAAAGATATTCTCAAGTATGCCGCACAGAGTGAACTGGAAATTATTCCTTTTGTTCCAACCTTTGATCATCTAGAGTTTCTGCTAAAGCACGAAGAATTCCGAAATATGCGTGATTTGGACTCGTCACCCTTGGTAATAACACCAGCATTGGATTCAACTTATGCAATTCTCACTGAGCTGATAAAACAAGTGATGACTCTGCACAACACATCTGACTACTTCCATATAGGTGCTGGTAGGGCCACAGACCTCGGCATCGGCTTGTCTGCATCACTTACAAACAAAGGAAAGACTAAGGAAGACATCATGCTGGATCACGTGATCAAAGTTGGTCGCTTAATCAAGGAGAGGTTTAAAAAACAGCCCATCATGTGGGATGATATGTTACGGAGAATGGATGCTAAAAAACTACAGGTAAATACTATCTATAGACATAGCCATTTGATGTGACTTTTAAATGTTATCATATTATATATACTAGTACTACACTTTCAAAACAAAATTTCTTCTTCCATTGTTAGCTGATTGTATTTGACATAATTTCTGAAGTTCTGATTTCCAATTTGACTGATACTGGTAAATGTAGAATAAATCCATTGATCTTTCTTCATTATTGTTTTGCTTATTTGGAACAAAGTTGTTAACTTGTTTTATTGAACAATTTCTTTTATGAAACCATTGATGTATACTTACAGTGTTGATAATTGACCTATATTTTTGTGGGTTGATAATTGACCTATATTTTTGTGGATTGATAATTGACCTATATTTTTGTGGGTTGATAATTGACCTATATTTTTGTGGGTTGGAGGGCTGTTAAGTTGAAATTAATTACTTACTTTCAAATCCATAAGACTGAACATCAGTAGTTTGAAATATAATTGAACAAAACTTTGATGAATGAAGGAACTCTGTTGGATTGTTGCTTATTCTTCTTGGGTCACTTTTTTAATTTCACATGTTTTAAAAAATAATTGAGCTAATACAACAAATTAATTATATATATATAGAAAAACAGGTTTCTCAGTGCTTAAGTGGTCACTTCATTTGATAACTTACCCTTGTAATTTCCACAGGACTCCCAACTGGGCAAGTATGTTCAACCTATGGTGAGGAGTTACATGACCGATCCAGCCGAAACTTTGACCTCTGACATCTGGAGTAAGTATCGGGGCACCTTCCAGAACATGTGGATAGCCTCTTCCTTTAAAGGTTCCACGGGCAGTGGGAGGGTGATGACAGATGCTGTATACCATCTCAAAAACCATCTCAACTGGATTCGCTTGATGGAGACTGTAGGTCCGGGGGCCAGGGACCAGCAACAGGCTGTCAATATCATCGGTATAGGGATCATGGGCCGACAGAGATATGGTCACTTCGGTACACTGTGTGAACTACTTCCAGCTGGTCTCCCCTCTCTGGCTATCTCTCTCAAGGTGATGCAGCTAGGAGGATTCAACGAATCCATACATAGGCTTGTGTCGACACAACTCCAGTGTGAAAAACCTGTCAAACTTGACCTGCTTAAGAAGTATAAAGATAATGACGGGTGTAAATTTCCAGGGTCGACGATTTACTACAAACTGCGGACGCTGTGGGGTAAACTTCAGACGTACGACACAGTCAAGGAAAAAATAAACAGCTTCGCAAGTGAGATAAACTACAAACATCATTTCTTTGATCCTAATGAGCTGAAGCGCATCAATACAAGTCTGCTGATGTTGAATGCCAGTATTGGTAGAATGGATGGATTCTTGAGAAATGAGATCAGGACGTACTTTGACTCCATGACGGCTAATGAGTGGGTAGAAATCAACATTAGACAGACTGTACAAGAAATCACAGAAGAAGTTCTTGAAATCGCTGAATTCTCAAAGAGAAGAACATGGTCTGATCGCCCAGGTTATGAAGCCTTGGCGGCTAAAAAAGTTCAAGGTGGTGACTTAAAAATAGGAAATCCTTCTGTTGTCGTCAAAGGCTTGGACGAGAAATGGGGTAAAAGTGTAAACATGCTAAAATTATCTCCTCTTCAACAACTTCAGAAGATTAGAAGAAGATTTAATCAAAGTAAAATATTTCAGGCAAATCTTCAACAAAAACTAAGTGCAGACAGATTCAGGGATATAGGTAGCAGCCAAAGAAACATACCAGCAATAGAGCAAAAGTCTGGCATGGGGATGGCTAATGGACAACTGAAGATGCCAGTGAAGGATCCAAGTTCTGGAATGGGGATGACTAACGGACAACAGAAGATGCCAGTGAAGGATCCAAGCTCTGGAATGGGGATGACTAATGGACAACTGAAGATGCCAGGGAAGGATCCAAGTTCTGGAATGGGGATGGTTAATGGACAACTGAAGATGCCAGTGAAGGATCCAATTTCTGGAATGGGGATGACTAATGGACAACAGAAGATGCCAGTGAAGGATCCAAGATCTGGAATGGGGATGACTAATGGACAACTGAAGATGCCGGTGAAGGATCCAAGTTCTGGAATGGGGATGGCTAATGGACAACTGAAGATGCCAATGAAGGATCCAAAACCTGGCATGGGGTCAGCTTATGGACAGTTGAAGAATGATGCTACCAATATCCAGAGAAACAGACCTGCAGTGGAACCAAAGCCTGGCATGGGTACGGGTAATAATTACCCAAGTTTTCAGAAATCACCATTGGACACGTCACAGGGAAGAGTGTTAGACCGTTTCCAATCAGCCAATATTCTCCCCAGGAAAGACTCGTATAGAACTGCCTCAGAGGGCGGGACATTGAACAATCCAGCTCAGCCATCCAGAAAGCAGAGAAGTTCCAATGCAGCTGGCCGTTTCCGATTTCCTGTCAATACTAACCCATGAGGTTTTATTTCAGCTATCTAGGTAATTGAATTATCAGTATACCAATACCAAGTGACCTATTGCGATCGCCTTTTGTCCGTCGTCGTCCGTCGTGCGTTCGTAAACAATTTACATTTTCGACTTCTTCTCCAAAACCCCTGAACCAATGTCAATGAAATTTTGCAGGGACCTTCCATGGACAAAGGTCAACGAAAATAGTGGCAGGTTTAGTCCCAATCCCCCAAGGGCCTGAGGGGCGGGGCCAAAAAGGGTAAAATTGACTAAAATTTCAAAAATCTTCTTCTCCAAAACCCCTGAACCAATTTCAATGAAATTTTGCAGGGACCTTCCATGGACAATGGTCAACAAAAGTGATGGCCGGTTTAGTCCCAAGCCCCCAGGGGCCTGAGGGGCGGGGCCAAAAAGGGTCAAATTGACTAAAATTTCAAAAATCTTCTTCTCAAGACCCAGATATGGTAGAATCAAATACTCTTCATATCTTGAAGGGTCTTAAGGTGCTTTACCAAAATTTCTTGACCCTGGGGTCTCACGTTTCCCCCTGGGGAGGGGGTAAACTTTACTATAGTTTATATAGGGAAATCACATTTTGGACCAACATTTGTTTAAGTTCCATTGGAAGTAATTCAATTTGGGTTAGCATTATCAGTATTAGGTAGCAGTTTGATAATAAGCACATATGAGCCCTGACTGACCCCACGGGGCTGAGGGGTGGGGCCAAAAAGGGTTGAATTGACTGAAATTTCAAAAATCTTCTTCTCAAGTCCCAGATATGGTAGAATCAAATACTCTTCATAGATGGAAGTGTCTTAAGGTTTACGACCCTAGGGTCTCACGTTTACCCCCTGGGGAAGGAGTGGGGGCGGGGGCAAAATTTATTATGGTTTATAATGGCAAATGAATATAACATGTTAATAACTTGATTGGAATTATAACCTTGAGTTGACAGTTTGATACTTTGAAAAGTTTGAGCCAGCCCTACCCCCAAGGGCTGTAGGGTGGGGCTCAAAGGAGTCAGTGTGCTAAAATTTCTTCATTTTCCTTGTTTAGAATCAGAGGTGCTAGTTTCAAATCCTTTTTAGTCTGAAATCTGTATGCTAGATATTGAATAAGGTGGTTTGATTGTTTTTTGTCACTTTGAATAATATTTCCGTTCATGTTAAAAACAAAATCAACTCTCTGTATAAATATATCAGGTAACCGTTAAGGCCCATGGGCCTCTTGTTTAATGAATCTTTTGTGCTGGGTAGTTTTATAAATAATATTTTTTCATAAAAAATACGAATGAATTTTACTACTTTAAACTAATTTCAGTTTTGGAGTGTATGCAGAATGATGTTGACAGATTGTGATTACATTATATACACATATCAGTGGTTGGGATTGTGATATATACGTTCTTAGAGTAGAAAGTGTAACAGGATGCTGTTTCATGTACTTTACATACAGAAAATGCTCCAATATACACCAGCGCATGTACTTGGATAAGTGTTGACGTGTGTATAGGTTTATGGGACCATTATAAAAATGTCACGGAGTATATTTTTCAGTCCCTAGATACTTGGCTTGTTCTGAAAGTGTTCAGTAACTGTTGTGTCTGGTATATGTTTAAACCACTCTATCTCTCTAGAGTTGTAAGCTGTAAAGATATCGTCTGGGCTTTATTTTAAAAGAACCATTGATGACATCCTGAAGGTATGACACATACTGCTCTATATTTGTACATGCCTTGTACACCTTACTATAGCTATACAGCCAGTTTTTTGGGCCATAAGTTCAAGCTGGTACCATATCACTCAATACGAGAATGTCTATATTACCCTTGTAGTAAAACTTTTTTTTCAGTCTGTCAATTGGATATGTCACTGGATAACAAATGAAGAGCTAAAAGGAGAATCTTGGAAAAGGTAATTTTGTTATCCAGTGGTCTAACCGATGGGTTGAAAGTTTTTTGTGTGCCATTTTAATGCTATAGTAAAAAGTGTTGTTCTGTTTAAGTTTACAGGAAGCATTCATATGTTTTAATGACTTCCTTTTTTGTTTGGCAACATTTGACTTTTCTAAAGATATGAAGTGTTATAGTTAACTAGTATTTTTCCAGTAACAAAAAAGAGCTTTGAACTGCCAAGATATCACCAGCAAAAGATAATTTTCTTACACCCTATTAAGAATTGTGATGCCTGGTACTTTACAGCCTATAAAGAAGATATTTTGAAGCATATTGTTAAAACCAGCAGGAAGGTATGTTTAACATGGGATAAGCAGGAGTAATGCTTTACAAAAAATCTAATGTAATAAATAAATATGTAAAAGGAGGAGGAGTTGTCTGTATGTGAAGTAGTACACAATGTAGTATCTGTATCTAGCATCATATATTTTACTTTTTCATTATTTACACTCCTGTAGAAGTCCTTGTACTCCTATAGATGTCCTTTTACTCCTATAGATGTCCTTTTACTCCTAAAGATGTCCTTGTACTCCTATAGAAGTCCTTGTATTCCTATAGATGTCCTTGTACTCCTATAGATGTCCTTGTACTCCTATAGATGTCCTTGGACTCCTATAGATATCATTGTACTCCTAAAGATGTCCTTTTGTACTCCTATAGATGTCCTTTTGTACTCCTATAGTTGTCCTTGTACTCCTATAGATGTCCTTGTACTCCTATATATGTCCTTGTACTACTATAGATGTCCTTGTACTACTATAGATGTCCTTGTACTCCTATAGAAGTCCTTGTACTCCTATAGATGTCCTTGTCCTTATACTCCTATAGATGTCCTTGTACTCCTATAGGTGTCCTTGTACTCCTATAGATGTCATTGTACTCATATAGATGTCCTTATACTCCTATAGATGTACTTGTACTCCTATAGATGTCCTTGTACTCCTGTATATCTCCTTGTACTCCTGTAGATGTCCTTGTACCCCTATAGATGTCCTTGTACTCCTATAGATGTTCTTTTGTACTCCTATAGATGTCCTTGTACTCCTGTAGATGTCCTTGTACCCCTATAGATGTCCTTGTACTCCTATATATGTCCTTGTATTCCTGTAGATGTCCTTGTACTCCTATAGATGTGCTTGTACTCCTATAGATGTCCTTGTACTCCTGTATATCTCCTTGTACTCCTGTATATGTCCTTGTACTCCTGTATATGTCCTTGTTCTCCTGTAGATGTTCTTGTACTCCTATAGATGTCCTTGTACTCCTGTATATCTCCTTGTACTCCTGTATATGTCCTTGTACTCCTGTATATGTCCTTGTACTCCTGCAGATGTCCTTGTACTCCTATAGATGTCCTTGGACTCCTATAGATATCATTGTACTACTAAAGATGTCCTTTTGTACTCCTATAGATGTCCTGGTACTCCTATAGATGTCCTTTTGTACTCCTAATGATGTCCTGTTACTCCTATAGATGTCCTTTTGTACTCCTATATATGCCCTTGTACTCCTATAGATGTCCTTGTACTCCTGTATATGTCCTTGTAGTCCTGTAGATGTCCTTGTACTCCTATAGATGTCCTTGTGCTCCTATAGTTGTCCTTGTACTCCTATAGATGTCCTTTTGTTCTCCTATAGATGTCCTTGTACTCCTATATATGTCCTTTTGTACTCCTATAGATGTCCTTGTACTCCTATAGATCATTGTACTCCTGTAGATGTCCTTTTGTACTCCTATAGATGTCCTTGTACTCCTATAGATGTCATTGTACTCCTTTAGATGTCCTTGTACTCCTATAGATGTCCTTGTACTCCTTGTACTCCTATAGATGTCCTTATACACCTATAGATGTCATTGTACTCCTATAGATGTCCTTTTGTACTCCTATAGATGTCCTTGTACTCCTGTATATGTCCTTGTACTCCTGTAGATGTCCTTGTACTCCTATAGATGTCCTTGTACTCCTATAGATGTCCTTTTGTACTCCTATAGATGTCCTTGTACTCCTATAGATGTCCTTGTACTCCTATAGAATTCCTTTTGTACTCCTATATATGTCCTTTTGTACTCCTATAGATGTCCTTTTGTACTCCTAAAGATGTCCTTGTACTCCTATAGATGTCCTTTTGTACTCCTATAGATGTCCTTGTACTCCTATAGATGTCCTTGTACTCCTATAGAATTCCTTTTGTACTCCTATATATGTCCTTTTGTACTCCTATAGATGTCCTTTTGTACTCCTATAGATGTCCTTGTACTCCTATAGATGTCCTTGTACACACAGTCATAGATAACGACAGGACACATCTTTGTCAAATTTGAATCATTCCTTCTAGCAGCAAAAACATTTTATGCTATTTTTTCGACGGAAGTGGTCTTTAAATATTTTTAGCTTTTGCCACATGGGTATAATTCTTGATATCGTCCCATGAAAAATTAAACGCATATTGATTTCAGCTTGTAAATAGGATATATTGTATCATTCACCGGAAAGGTATTTGTCAAAGTTTCAATATTAGCCCTCCATAATTAGAGTGAATTATCATGATACAATTGTACAAGCAAACATAAGTATTCTGCTAACAATATAATAATCCATACAATGATACAAAATTAACACAGCGTGAATATGTATTTTGCTGATGAAAGGCGATTAATTAACAATCTGGGAGCACAGCCATGAGGAATATTTTGTGTGTGACTAACCATTCCATAAAGTATCGTCAATAGCTAAGTCCCTACACTGTTGTCAAGTGCCTCATCATTCCATAAACTAATTAACTGCCATATATGGTCCTTGTCTCTATGTTATAGTTATTGATTGTGTTTAAATAATTCAGCTTTCTGGTTTAGGTTGTATACTCATGTTCTAGATCTGGTTGTGTTTTTATATTATGTAATATTTACATTAATACATTCCATCATGTCCCATTCAAAGCTGCAGACAACTCTGAAAAATTTGAATTTACATTATCTTCAATAAGATTCATCAGTCTGGAAATATGTGATATAAAGTTTTACTTTTTTCACAATATCGATAAGCAAATGTCTCGGGTTGAGAGACATGAAAAACATACAATTTCGTCACATCGTTGTACAATAAATACAAATCGCTCACTCAGTCATAGCTTGACAAAGGATACCAGTCGATCTTGAGATGTTGTGACACGTTTAATATGTATATTGTTTGTGTAGTAAAACTTTGATATTGAATTTACATTGTTGTAGTACTCTGTATTTATAAACTCTCATTGTTAAGAATCTCAGTAGACATTTATACATAACAAATGTAGAAACATACTATGAAGTAGGTCATGATCAGGTTTAGTAGACCCTTTCTAAAGGGACCACTCTAACGAGGGACCATCTCTTTCTACGTTATTATATCTAAGATTTGACTGTTAGAATACATGTATTGTTGAATATCCTAAAACCTTTATAATAAGCTGAAGCTTGTCTTAATTTTTCGTAAAGATTCCCAGCCTTACTTTCAAAGCCGTCCTATTTTCAAGGTAGTCTTATATTCAAACCTATTTAGACAGTAAGCCAGTGATGGCTTATTTCCTTGGCCTTTTTTTTCGCATTGACAGATATAATGTTCTGCAACTTTTCTTTTTCATTTTGAACTGAAATCAAATCCATTCGTGTATTGATGGGATTGTGGCAGTAACGAGTCATGTGACCTATACATACCTGTAAAACCTGTTAAGGCCCATATTTATTTGACAAACATGTTGGTCACTCATTGCAGTTGTTAACTGTGCAAATGATGCTGAAATTTATGTTTTGTGCTGAGTGTAATTAGTCGAAGCTAATTCATCTTCTTCACAACGTAGGTGTGAACACTCATTTGTACTGTGAGGTTATATTTGTGCCATAAATAAGTCACGTTTCTAGTATGATTGTTTCTTTGTTAGAAAAGTTCATAATTTATCCTTGAAGAAAATAACTCGGGATATGTTAAGGTGTGTACCACAGGTTATCCTCATTTACACCTACTTGTATATAATGATCCCGATATAACATGTATAATAATGTTATAACAGAGAGAGAGCTTCCAATGTAACCTTGAATGAAAGATAGATATATATCTCCTATATTGTGTTGTTTAATATACATGTATGTTTTCGTTTCTGTTTTGACACTATGTAACTGGATTACAACTATATACCACTGTACAAAATTTGACCCACACACTGTGTGATTTGATCAGTTTCAACACAGACTTAGTAACCATCTTATTCCTTGATTTTAATGTGCGAATATATCCACCACTCTTGAGGCCCTTTGCCAATACTTGTGTTTCTAAATGAAACTGCCTCATTTTGAAATTGTCACCTGACATTATCCATGCTCATTTACAAGTATTTAAATGGGCTTTCTCCACAAATCAAGTGGTCAAACTGGACATTTGAGGATAGCAGGGAAACATAATTAGCAGTGCACTAGGCTACACATAAATTCAATATCTAAACTGTTGTTTTTGTTTTTATGTCCATTTAGATATCAACAAAATGTGCAAAATATGGGATGTCAAGAAAAGCATGTTATATTTCCATAATTTTTCAAGTGAATTAAAGTTCATTATGAAGGTGTTTGGGGATTTATATCGGTAGTCCTATGCATTGGTTGTGGAGATAACAGGAAGTGGATCATTAAATCACATTGGTGGTGTGTTGTTTCAAATAGGGGCTGTTATGTAGATGTTTTACTGTATTCCTTCAAATAGAGGGTGTTATGTAGATGTTTTACTGTATTCCTTCAAATAGAGGGTGTTATGTAGATGTGTTACTGTATTCCTTTAAATAGAGGGTGTTATGTAGATGTTTTACTGTATTCCTTCAAATAGAGGGTGTTATGTAGATGTTTTACTGTATTCCTTTAAATAGAGGGTGTTATGTAGAGGTTTTACTGTATTCCTTTAAATAGAGGGTGTTATTTAGAGGTTTTACTGTATTCCTTTAAAAAGAGGGTGTCATGTAGAGGTTTTACTGTATCCCTTCAAATAGAGGGTGTAATGTAGAGGTTTTACTGTATTCCTTCAAATAGGAGGTGTTATGTAGAGGTTTTACTGTATTCCTTTAAATAGAGGTTGTTATTTAGAGGTTTTACTGTATTCCTTTAAATAGAGGGTGTTATTTAGAGGTTTTACTGTATTCCTTTAAATAGAGGGTGTTATTTAGAGGTTTTGCTGTATTCCTTCAAATAGAGGGTATTATGTAGAGGTTTTACTGTATTCCTTTAAATAGGGGGTGTTATTTAGAGGTTTTGCTGTATTCCTTCAAATAGAGGGTATTATGTAGAGGGTTTACTGTATTCCTTTAAATAGGGGGTGTTATTTAGAGGTTTTGCTGTATTCCTTCAAATAGAGGGTGTTATGTAGAAGTTTTACTGTATTCCTTTAAATAGGGGGTGTTATGTAGAGGTTTTACTGTATTCCTTTAAATAGAGGGTGTTATGTAGAGGTTTTACTGTATTTCTAATGTTAATGTTCATGTATGTATACATTCCATAACATGTTTTGTAGAGTGTAACAGACATTTAAAATGTGCTTTGGTTGGTTTTATTTTGTGATATGTAAAAATATTACCATATCCTAAGAGACAGAAAACTAAACATTTCAGAGATTTATTTATTTTTATTTTTTTAAGCAGTATATGGTGACCAATTTTCTACCACACTGCTCAATGTCATAGACTACCTATATAGCTAACGTTTTGTGTCATGATTTAGATACCTAATGTGGTATTCAATGTTATTTGTGTTATTTTGGGCACTTAAATGCATGACGTCAAATGAATTGATGTGGAATATCATTTTTTTTTTTTTTACCATATTATATCTGTGAAAAGGCAGTAAAATAGGTGCAAAATTGACCCTCATCTGTGAAAATTATTTCACCTGGATTTGGGTTTCACACAAAGTGTGGAATTGTCATGGGTAAAATAAGTTAGATATTGTATATTTTTTTTATATTTGTGAAAATCAAATTTGTCACATTTCACACTTTGACCATTATGGATTATTCAATTCAAAGTACTTTAATACTTTCATAAAGATAATTTTAATATTGATACACGGAAATGTCATTGCTTAATATATATATGTACAATAATAATGCTGTCCTTTTTTGTAGATTTGCAGTAATTTTGTTTTATTTAATTTTATGTTTTGTACATTAATATATACCTAAACAATTGCTTCACCATTCCTTTGACATACATTTAGTAATAAATTTAACAAAAACAATTTGTTGTACAGATTCATCAATAAACATGTATATTTCATATATCTAACAGACACATTTTTTGCATAGACCCATCAGCTGTACAATGTTTGCCGGTTGTAGATTTGATGGAGGGTTTGTTTTTGTTTACACATCATCAAGACTAGTGTTATTCATTTGAGAAGGTCCCTAAAGTCAATGCTAACTTCCATCTTACATATGAAATAAGTGTCCTTACTTGCAATCAGTTTTAACGTGTTAAATCAGGACGCTGTGTGTATGAGGAGGATCATGTGACTGGTGTAGATTTTAATGTATTGTCCTCTCTTTTTAGTGCACTAGTGTATTATCAAATGTTCCTGTATATATGATATACGTAACGTAACTGGTTCTCTCCTCTAGGATAATAAAGTGTAGGCTGTCTATATTTTCTATGAAGAAAAGATTTAATGACTGCTGAATTGCGTCCTTTTTTCATATATTGTCTTAAAACTCTAAAATATGTATACCAGTATGCAAAAATTAAATTATTTATTTGTCGTTATATTCTGGCAGCTTTTGTTTACATTCTCAGCCATTTTAAAGCAGCATTATAATGGCGATATCTTCTTGTTTTAGGTCCCAGAAAACAAAATCAGATCACAAATTAGCTATACAAGTTTATGATTTTTCCTCTTAAACTAGGAGAGTCTTACATTCCATAGATAAAATTATTTGAAGTTTTGATATAAATTGATTTGTCCAAACAAAACTACAAGGTAATGCCTCTTCATATACTCCAAGATGTTGACAGTGAGAAAGGCTGGCAGGCTCAAACTTGAACTGTTTGGGAACAGAAATTGAAATAGTCTGAAAAGTCTCAAAGAAGGACAAAGATAGACACACGAGACATGATAGGGAGGTAGGAGATGATTAATGTGAACAAGAGGCCCAGAGGGCCTGTATTGCTCACCTGAATATGTTTAAAATAATTGTTATGAAGGAAAGATATAGCACTTCATGGTAGGTGCTGTAAGTACATGAAATTTCAGAAAGATCCATCCAGCACTTGAGATATAGTGAAAACAAATTTCAAACAGAGCCC